TGCTGTTGGTCTCAGTCTATCGATCCAGCCTGTCCAGATCCCTCTGCAGAGTCTTCCTACCCTCCAGCAGATTGATGTTCCGACCCAACTTGGTGTCATCTGCAAATTTACTGAGGGTGCCCTCAATCCCCTCATCCAGATCCTCTTTGAGGATATTAAACAGCACCAGCCCCAAAAGTGAGCCCTGGGGAACACCACTTGTGACCGGCCACCAACTGGATTTAGCTCCATGGACCACAACTCTCTGGGCCCAGCCATCCAGCCAGTTTTTTACCCATTGAAAGAGTCCACCTATTAAGCCATGAGCAGCCATTTTATTTAGGAGGAAGCTGTGGGACACTGTATCGAAGGCTTTACTAAATTCTAGGTAGACAACATCCACAGCCTTTTCCTCATCTATCAAGCGGGTCACCTTGTCGTAGAAGGAAACCAGATTGGTCAAGCATGATCTTCCTTTCATAAATCCATGTTGGCTGGTCCTGATCCCCTGATTTTCCTGCATGTGCTGTGCAGTAGCACTCAGGATGATCCCTTCCATAACCTTGCCTGGAACCAAGGTCAGGCTGACAGGCCTGTAGTTCCCCAGGTCGTCTTTCCAACCCTTCTTGTAGACGGGTGTTACATTTGCTAGTTTCCAGTCTGCTGGAACTTCTCCAGGTAACCAGGACTGCTGGTAGATAGTTGTGAGTGATTTGGCAAGTTCTTTTGCCAGTTCCCTCATTACTCTGGGGTGAATCCCATCAGGGCCCACAGACCTAGGAGTGTCTAATTGGCACAGCAAATTGCTAACCATCTCCTCCTGAGTGATGGGGGCTTCACTCAGCTCCCTGTCCGTAACTTCCAGCTCTGAGGGTTGAATGACCTGAGGACAACTGGTCTTGGCATTGAGACTGAGGGAAAGAAGGCATTGAACATTTCTGCTTTTTCCTCATCCCCTGACACTACACTACCCTGTGCATTCAGCAAATGATGGAGGCTCTCCTTTACCCTCCTTTTGCTGCCAGTGTATTTATAGAAACTTCTTTTGCTATCTTTAACTGTAGTGGTCAAATCAAGTTCTAGTTGAGCCTTGACCCTTCTAATCTTCTCCCTACGTGACCTCACAACATCCCTATATTCCTCCCAATTTACCTGATCTTCCTTCCAGAGACAATACATTCTCTTTTTTTCCCTAAGCTCCAGCCTAAGTTCTCTGTTTAACCTGCCTGGTCTTTTTACACGATGGCTTGTCTTTCTACACACAGGGACGGCCTGCTCCTGAATATTAAGCAACTCCTTTTTAAAGCGAACTGCTGCGCAAACTGCCACACCCACCCTGACTGATGCAATTTCATGGCTAAAACTTTCAGTGTATATATAGCCTGTTCCTTTCTTGTTTCTCTTAGAAAAGAGACTGGATTTTGCTTTCATCACCTGATTTTGTCTGTTGACTGTGTTGAAGTGTTGAGTTTGTCCCTGGATTTCAGTATCATTATTTCCTAACTGTTTTCTGTAGTGTTTCCTCAGATCTTTTGGAAGATAGATGACTTCTGTCAGATGATAGAATCTCCTAACTGGATATTTTTGGAATGTAATCAAGAATACAGAAATTAATGTGGGCTTTAAAGACAGTTGAGATTTGAGAGTTTTCACTCTCCCTTCATTGTAGTTCCACATTTTCCTGCTGTGGCCATTGTTCTCAGCAGCAGCACTTTGTGAATCCTAATTTAGTCAAGGCTCAGTCTTTTCAGGACCTGTTTAATAGACTTCATAGAATCATAGAATCATTTAGGTTGGAAAAGACCCTTAAGATCCTAGAGTCCAACTATAAACGTAACGCTGCCAAGTCCACCACTAAACCATGTCCGTATGTGCCACGCCTACCTGTCTTTTAAATACTTCCAAGGTTGATGACTCAGCTACTTCCCTGGGCAGCCTGTTCCAATGCTTGACAACCCTTTTGGTGAAGAAATTTTTTCTTATATCCAATCTAAACCTCCCCTCACGCAACTTGAGGCCATTTCGTCTCATTCTGTCACTGAGAGAAAAGACTGATCCTACCTCGCTACAACCTCCTTTCAGGTAGTTGTAGAGAGCGATCAGATCTGCCCTCAGCCTCTTTTTCTCTGGGCTAAACAACTCCAGCTCCCTCAGCCACTCCTCTGTCACAGGAGACAATGCACTGCTACTGTTATATCTAAATTCCTTGCTTAAATATTTTGACGTTTATTGGTGGGAATCTGTAGCAGTTACTTTCAGCAAAGATTTCTTTTTTTTCTAAATATCACCTCTGAGCTCCATTGGGCATTTTTATAATTTTTAAATACACCTTTTGTCTCAGAGACTTGATGTAAATGGATTTTTGCCAGACACAGAGCAGTACTCAACGCTAGAGAAGTGTGGCATAGATTCTATACAGCAGAAGACACTTAATTGATGCCATTGGTTATGCAAGTGAGCAGAAGCTGTCTTTGTAGAGCAGTAAAGGCATCACTGAGAAATGTGAATTTTGCCTTGGTGCTGTAGGACAGACATTCAGTTGTAAAGCACTGGGGTGGGGTGACACGAATGAAAATGAAAGAACTGAGAGGAATATTTGATGAGAAAGTTAATAAATTAAGCTTACATAGGCTGGGAATAAAGGAGGATATTGAGCAGTAGCTGAGTTTGGTTTGGAAGAAGAGGTTTATCTCTGCAGAAAGTAGATCACTAGGATACTTTAAAAGAAGAAGGGAGGAAAAGAATGTTTCAACTTCTGGATACAAAAATAATCCTAAGGTAAACAAGTACTCCAACAAAGATTTGTGCTCTAGGCTCTGATCTAAAGCCTACGCAAGACAATGTGATGTTTTTCATAAATTTAAATGGGTTCTGTCAATTAATAAAGATTTGTAATCAGGTCTGGAAGTCTGATCGTAAGGGACTATTGGATAACTCTGATGATTCTAAACTAAACTGCTCAAACAGAAAGTCTCGTTGTGCAAATAGATGTAATTGTATGATTCTTTTGCGTGATTCTTCTGTGATTGCCTACTTTATGATCTTTCCTCTGTAATTTATTCCTTACATTTATTGTATTTCCTTCTTTTTCTTGTCAAATAGGTAAGCAACCTGAAGAAAATTTTAAAAGGAATATTGGATTACAACCATGAGGTAAGAACCATTTTGAGTAATCTACATCTACATTCTTTTTTTGTACCATATTTTAGTTTACCTCTTTGATGTAAATTATATTCCACATGATTAAATTCTGACTTCTTCTTGTGAAGTATTTGGCATACAGAGTGTTTCGTGGCCTATTTTCAGGTGTTAACCTTCTCTAAAATTTCACGCCTGCCTTATTCAACTCAGCTTCCTGAGGAGTCTGATGTGTAAATTCTGTTATAAAAACAGTAGATGTGTTTGTTGACTATGTTCTGATGATGGACTTTAACAGTACTTGTATTTGGCTTGGGTTTTGGTTTTTTTTTTCCCTCTGCTCCAGCTAAAGACTGCCTATTTCCTTTTTTTTTCTCTTGAGAAGAGAGAGTAAAGAGCATTTTTAGCCTCTCCCCACATTAAAATTTTTAATGAAATGTTTTAATCCTGGGATATTGAAGTCTGACCTTGGTGTTCTCTCTTGGACTATTGAGCAAACTCAGAAATTAGTCACTCCAAAGGAGATACAGTACAACATTTTTTTCAGTGGTGAATCTTCAGCTGAAATATACTTTTATTTTCAGTGATGTTTTGAGGCAATTGATCTGTACAGGCTACAGCACAAAATCCATAATATGTATGTTTTAGATGCTGCTTGTCTCAAAATATTAGCTTCTTATAAATACTGCGGAGAGGAAGATACTTATTAATAAACTTAAGTCTTTAAAAATGAACAGGTTTTGAGAAAGAAAAAGCTCTTATTCAGTAAATGGTCAGGTGTCCCTGTTGAAATAAGTTTTGAAAATTGGTAGTTAAGCAAGCTGGTCATAACTGACAATTCTAGAAAGAAACAAGTAAGTTTTGTGTTATGGAAAACTGATAGTACTATGACAAAGTGATGCCAGTTGGCTAGTTGGTATGTACAATGATTAAGCTTCTGGTGTGAAAACTTTACTGCTAAGCAAGTTTTGAACTATTTCAGGCTAATGAAGTTCTGCAAAGGCAATGCATATTTGTAAGTTTGACTGGATTTTGCTTTGGTTTTTGTTTTCTGCTGAGGCAATGCTTGTGGTGATAATGGAGATGATCTGGATTCTACTGTGAATCCTGGTTATATTTTCCTTGGCCTGATTCCCTTTCCTAGCAATCACCTTCTACAAAAACATGGATGTAAATGTATATGGATTTTACTCGATGTAGTTAAAAGCCTTTGAAAAGTATATATGCTAATTTTGTTCATCTTCAAAAATTTGTATCGCATTCAGGAGGGTGATCTTTCAATAGCTATCCTACATTGCTGTCTTTGTCAATTATGTTATGGAAGAGCAAGAAACCAAATTTACCTATTTATAGCTTACAGGCTTTGTTATGCCCCAGAAATCTTGCTGCAGAACTCTGCTGCTCTGGAATTGAAACTTTTGGGTTTTTTTGTGAGGGCCTTTTATATTTTTTTAAAAGGGGAAAGTTGCTCTTTTTCATCTGAGGATGCTTGTTGCAGAGTCTATCCTTCTTTTTCATATTTATTTCAATTTTTTTTTTAATTAGAATTGTACCTCGTGTTTATTTCAAAATACTCTATTTACACCTTCATATCCTTGGCTACTTCGTAGTGCCTGCTGGTATGCCTCTTCCCTTCAGCTTTCTTCAACAGCAATTATATTATCAGTAACTATGAAGCCATTATAGTATTCTTAACTTAAATCCAGCATTGCATTTGAAAGAAATTCAGCAACTACAAATCAATATATAAACACATATCAGATTTGTCTAATTCAAAGAATATTGTGTTTTACTGTATTAGCGCAGTCTGTGTACAGTGGTGATGTTTTCCACTGTGCTCAATGCATTCACAGAATTCTTATTTTCTCACTAGAATAAACTAGAGGAAGTCTTTTCCAACAAGAATTAATCTGGAACCTTTAAAGTATACAGAGTTTTTTAGTAGTGTTGGTGCTCATTCTTTGAGAAGGTTGTTTATAATATAAATATAATGCCACAATACAAAAACCACCACACAAAACAAGGACAAACTCAACCACAATGATTCCACAAAGCTCAACCCTGGAAAACTTTTGAATGGCTTGATTTCCATGTATTCTTCATATACATCTGTTAAATGTTTTTTATAAAAACCTCTACCTGGTTCTCTGTTTTTCTTGAGTATTAACCCGAAAAAGGGCATCCAGCAAACAAATGACTGATTCCCTCCATAGTCATTGTTTCTTTATTGCACCCTGCTTAAGAAGTGACAGTTTCTTTTTATCTGCTATTAATGTGTCAGAGATGTGTTTAATTCCATATTTCATATTCATATTTTCAGCCCCCTGAAAGCTCTTTATGAACAGTTTAGCAGAATTGTTTAATTCCTTCTACTGACAATCATTAATGTAAATCTTTCTTAATTATAAATCAGATTACATTAATTGTAAGTCACATGGGGTTTTTTGTTTTGTGTGTTGTTTTTTTTTTTCTTTCTGCATGTGGGCTGTTTAATTACGTATTGTGCTACTCCCTCAAATTCTCTTCCATAGCACTAGCTTTCTTAGCTCTGAGACTTGCTAAATATCCTTAAATTTTCTAGAAGTGTGAGACCAAGTGATTTAGTTTTTTGCTGTGTTGTATTTGTCATCCATCAGTGCTAGACACATGTGTAAGTGAAATATTTCAATTTCTGGCCTTCTAGTTGTAAGAAATGTGAGATTTGTGTATAATGTTTTATTCTACATAAGGTGGTTTTAGGCATTCGATTTTTTTTTTTAATGGAATGCTTTAAAAAGAAATTAATTATCCATGTGCTGTTGATCGAAGCCTGCCTTTGTTACTTTTCTCATCTGAAGAAAAAAATCGTCCTAAGTTTGAAACTAATAGTTTCTTATTAGTTGAGACAGTCAGGTTTTTCTTCTTCCAAATATTAGTTGTGTCAAACAGTTCGGTTAATATTTAGATGTTAGGTGTTAGGCAATTTAGTTTGTTTTAAAGGTGAATAGAAAACTATGTTAAAGTACGAGTGAATTGCTCGTTTTGATTCTAAATGGTCTTTGTATTTTGAAATGTGTATGTATACATGTGGTGATACAGACATGTATGTATTGGGTCTTTACGCAGATTCTAGGGCAACAGATTAATGACTTCACACTTCCTGATGTTAACCTGATTGGAGAGCATGCTGATGCTGCGGAGCTTGGGAGAATGCTTCAGCTTATTTTGGGATGCGCTGTGAATTGTGAACAGAAGCAAGGTATTAAATTTTGAAAGCATGTTTTCTCCCAGGCAGTGAATGAAAATCCAGCTTGTTGTGTAACTACTTAGGGGGAAAGTTATATTTCTCAGGTTGCTGTTAGAGACAATATTTTTTTGTCAGTAATGACATAATTTTGTCCTACAGATAATAACTGTTGTTTTGTTATAAGCTTCACTAGTTTTGGAGTCTCAAACTGTAGAACTGGTTTTGCTTCCAACATACATATTTTCAATTTTTGTTTGCTGATCTGAAAAGGCTCTCTACAAAGGAAAATTCTTGGGCCCATCCTTTAACTATTTATGAGGTAGATTGGCATAGTTAAGAATCAAGAACTGTGATTGTTGAACTGTTCTCTGTGACTCTTGGTTTTAGGAGCGCATTCCGGTCAGCATCTTACTACATGGCCAAGAGCCATCAATATGGCTGGGGATTAGTCTGAAGATATGTCTGGTGTGATTTGGGATGCTGTAGTTTCTGTGACTTTTGCATGGGGTTGGCAAATAGGAAAAAGTAATGTTGACAACCATGCCCTTGTGGGCAGCAACTGAAGACTGACCATGATACCTTCAGGGTATCCAAAACGTCACTTGAGGCATTTGCTAGACGACTGAATCCCGCTTCAGCAGTCACTGAAACAGGCTTGCCTCTCTTGACTCCAGTGGCACCAACTGTCTATCTGACTTGCACAGATGAAGTAGAGATCCATTCATTTTTCCTGCAGATGCCACAGACGATGTGATGAACAACGGAGACGCTTGTTGAAGTGTCCCAAATCTCATGCTCTAAACTTGCCTTGGGTGCAGGGTGTCTGAGTTATCTTAAATTACACTTAATTCAAGCCAGGTTAGGGTAACAAAGTAACTACAAGCATTTATTCTTAACACATAAAACAGGAAGCATAGGAACACGTTTATAAAATACACATGTGGGTAAATAAAACTGTTTGTTTACATTAAAGTTGCATCAAATATCTGTTTCTTTCTGTTTTAACTCATTTTGGTTTCCTTTCTGACAAAACAGCAGCCAAGGTTTCAGACCTTTTGTCGTCATCTTGCATGGTGCATCTTAGCTTTTATAGCTAGTTTCCTCTTTCCGGTTTTCTCAGGTGTCTAAGTCACTTTAATTTCTCCTTCTGAAATTACTTTTATTCTTCCCTTAATCAGGAGACCATCTGGCTATCCTATTAGTTAAAATAGATGTAATTTTCTTCTGTAAGTACATAAATAACTGTTTTATTAGGCCTCCTGTCCTCTCTGGTTTATGTAAAATTATCTTCCTTTCTTTGGTGACTATTTGCCATCCTGAAGTGGGAAGTATATTGTATTTCTGTATTTCTCTTACTCTTTCAATCTGGACATTAAAAATGTACATGTTTGAAATACCGGAACAGTCTAGTTTTGTGTATTTTGAGTGAGCCTTGGCATGACCTAATTAATTGCTTTGAGGTGACTGATTCCCAGCATCTTCCTCTTGGGCAAATAAATAGAAGGATACAGGTTGCATGTAAAGGTGATCATATCTGACTGGAAACAATATGATACTGGACAAGTCACAAACTCCTTGACTTGGTCTGAATGTCAGAATTTGTCCTTCTAGCCACCGTATCAGGTACCTCTTGTGTAGCTCACACATAAGTGAGGAATGAAAAAGTAGAGGGGTCTTATTTGTGATATAGCACAGAAATAAGAACAGAAACCAAGAATGGTTATGAAAGTGCCTTGAAATGAGGATGCTGTAGGAAGGCAGGACATTATTTTTAAACTTACGGAAAAGGACAACCTGTGTGTTGTATAGCCTGAATAGTCTGGGAGCAAAATGAGAAAAGGAGTATAAATAGTTATATCAGAAATGTGAGATGGCAGAAGGAAAAAAAATGAATGACAATCATGTACTTTTTTCATTGTTGCCGAGTTCCAGTGAGCATGGATTTATGTCTGAACAGACTTCTGATAAAAGTCTTGTTGAGTTTGTTGTTCACACTTGACTGGTGATTTTGTGTTTGTGTCATCTGTGGCACCTAGTCTTTTTGTAGGAAGGATGCAACTTCTGACATCATATTCTTGTGTGACTTGAATTTCAACAGTAACATTTGAGAATGCTCTTATTTTCAGAGTACATCCAGACCATAATGATGATGGAAGAATCAGTGCAACATGTTGTCATGACAGCCATTCAGGAGGTATGCCGGGATACACACAGTGTGTAAAAAGTTCAGCCTTTCAATATTTTACAAAAGTATACTTTTTCCCACTTTGGAAAAACTTAGTTGGAAGTAAAGAAAAGAAGGAGCATAGATTTTGCCATTTTACATTGATTAATACCTTATTTTTCCTTAGAAAAGCTTGCTTTATGTCAAGGAACTCTGGTTGAATGTCCCACTTTTCTTTAAATCTAGAAGACTAACACTTCTAGATGTTTTTGATACTGGGTTCCCTTTCCTTTACCTTTCCCACCCTGTGGCTCCTGAACTGCACTAGACTGCCTTTATATGAGTAACCAAATACTGTAGAATTTATTCCAAATTTGTACCTTGACATTGCAAAACTCAATGAACTGTTAATTTTTAATTTTTTTACTGCACAAGTGAAAAGAAAGAGAAATGGATAGCAGAATATTCTTTTGTCAGCTTTTGTGCTAAGATGTTTTTACAAGTTAGTAAGTATATTGCAGTGTATTTTGTGTAAGTGCTGTTCAATAGTAAATTAAAACCACAGTGAAAATTAAATCACAGTGTTAGTGACCACTATAGCAATGAAGCCTTCATGTGACTTCTTAAGAGCCTGAAGTGCCTGTAAGTGAAGTGCCTATCAGTCTTCATAAACGGAGATTTACTGCAGGGCAGGCCACTAAGGAAAGCAGGAAATGGCTGGTGATCCTATTTCTTCTGAACCTGAACAAGGGAAACTAAATTCCACATTGAGCTCTAGAGCAATTTCACTTTTCTGTCATGTCTGAATAGAGAAAGAGATATCATTGAGCCTACAGGGACCCCATCCTTTGTTAATGCTTTGACCAGTGCTGTATCCATGCAGTCGTACATCCTGTTTGTGTCTGGACTGCTGTCTATAACATTGCAGAGAGGACTTCTGAAATGAGCACTGAAAGAATCCTTGTGCTAAATCATCTTCCAATCAGTGCTGCCAAGCACCAATTTGTCTGAGTTTTGGGATATTTTGCTTTTGTATTCTTTTTAACTGTAATACAGTGTTCGGGTGGATTTTATTAATGTCCTCTTTTATTAAACCCAAATTTCAGCATCACTTTATTCTGCACTGTCTTAAAATAGAACACCTTTTCTTATTCTCCTTACTTCTGCTGGAAATCTCCTGTTTGATTTTTGTAAAAACCTCCTTCATTTGATAAAATAGCCAGATCTGAAGCAGCCCACAATTTGGGGTATTTGATGAGTAGGCAATGAACTTCTTCAGTGTTTGTGCCCTTTCTCAGAGGTGGGGAGTAGAAGTGGGGAGAAATCACAGGATGAGGGTCTGTTCTTCTGGAACAGATTTTTGAAACTCAGTGAATCAAAAAGCTTACTGTTCAGGTACTGATGCAGTTCTGGGTGATTTTAATGCTCCCTTCCCAGCTGCTTAGGAATCCAAGGCATTCAGAACCAAATGAGGAGAATCTTGGGTGCTTAATGAAGAGGTCAGAAAGTGTCTCAAAAACTTTGAGACACTTCGGGAGTGGGACCTCCCTCCATTATTTTTCAACAGTCTTGGGAGTCTGGAGAGGTCCCAGTCAACTGCAAGCTGGCAAAAGTTGTTCCAGTTTTCAAGAAGGGAAAGAAGGAAGACCGTGGTAATTACAGACCTGTCTCACTTCAGCGCCTGGCAAAATGATGGAGCAGGTTATTCTGGGTATTACTGAAAAACCCTTGAGAAACAATGCAGTCATTGGTCATAACCAGCACGGGTTCATGAGGGGAAAGTCCTGCTTAAATGGATTAATTTCCTTTCATGACAAAGTCGCCCATCTAGCTGACCACGGGAAGCCAGTAGATGTGGGGTTTTTGGATTTTAGTAAAACTTTTGGTACTGTCTCTCACAGTATCCTCTGGACAAAATGTCCGGCATGCATTTAGACAAGTCCATAATTTGTTGGGTGAGCAATTTACTGATGAGTCAGGCTCAAAGAGTTATAGTAAAAGAGGTTACATCAGGCTGGCAGCCATTCACTGATGGGGTTCCCCAGCAGCCAATTTTAGGGGCAGTGCTCTTTAATGCTTTCATAAATGATCTGGATGCAGGAATTGAATGTACATTAAGGAAGTTTACCAATGATACTAAACTAGGAGGAGCTGTGGACTCCCTCAAGGGTAGAGTGGCCTTACAGAGAGATCTAGGCAGACTAAAGAGCTGGGCAGTCATCCACTGTATGAAATTCAACAAAAGCAAGTGCTGAATTTCCACCTGGGATGAGGTAATCCTGATTATATGTACAAATTGGGGGTTGAGAGGCTGGAAGAGCAGCTGTGTGGAAAGAAGGGGAGCTTGGGTTGATGGCAAGTTGAATGTGAATCAACAATGTGCCCTGGGAGCCAAAAGGGCCAACCATGTCCTGGGGTGCATCAAGCACAGCATAGCTAGCTGGTTGAGGGCGGTAGTTGTCCCACTCTACACTGCACTGGTACAGCCCCACCTTGAGTGGGGCTGTGTACAGTTTTGGGCACGTCATTGTAAGAAGGACATCAGATTATTAGGGCGTGTCCAGAGGAGGGTGACCAAGATGGTGAAAGGTCTCAAGGACAAGACTTAGGAGGATTGGCTGAGGTCACTTGGTTTGTTCAGCTTGGAGAAGAGAAGGCTGAGGGGTGACCTCATTGCAGTTGACAACTGTCGAGGGGGACAGCGGATGGGGAGGTGCTGATCTCCTCTTTCTGGTGACCAGCGACAGGACATGAGGAAATAGAATGAAGGTGCATCAGGGGAAATTTGGATTGGACATTAGGAAAAGACTCCAGTGGTCAGTCACTGGAACAGGATCCCCAGGCAAGTGGTCACGGTATCAAGCCTGTCATTTAAATAAAGTTCAAGGAGCATCTGGACAGCACTCTTAGTCCTATAGTTTAGTTTTAGCTAGGCCTGCGAGGAGCAGGGAGTTGGACTTGGTATTACTTATGGATCCCTTCAAGCTTGAGATATTCCATGATTCTAACACGCGTTTAGATCTAGAGAGTCTTTTCAGAGGTGCATCTGCAGTCTGTGTCTTTGGAGAGGTGAAACTTCACTGGATTTAAGGTTTTGCTATTCTTTGGACTCAGAGCAGTTCTCAGAATCTAAGTGATTTGGACTAAGCAGGATGTAGGAGACACCAAGATACAAGATAAAGTGCCTAGGAGGGTAGCTATATACGCATATTGGAAAAGCTGGTATGTCACCTAATCCAAACATTTCAAAGCATTTGACATGAAGGTACTCTTTCTTTAAAATTAGATATGTAAAAAGACCTCTCTAAGCTTTACTAACGTATTATGTAATTCCTCTTTTCTGTTCCAACAAAGCACATATAAATGTTTTTTGATACTTCTTTGGTTTTCATAAATCATCTTACTGGGCCTCAAGTATTTTCATGAGTAGAACAAGCCTCTGTCCAGTTTTCTCTGTTTTTTACATGAAGAAACTGATTTTTAAATGGAAGAGCATTTTATGTTTTAAATTTTATTTGGTTATTTCAATTCTTTTAATATCTTGGACTCTTCAGCATTCTCTTTCTTCACTTATTTAAATGTTTAAAATAAAATATTATTAATAAAATATGCCTCATGTTCCATAAATTTTTAATAAATTGAAGAATGCTTTTCTGTTATTTTTTCAGTGCAGTCAAATTGATCTGGTGTGTTGCCACCACCTAGATTCTTAGATTCTAATCTGCAGATGTACTTTTCTAAATGCAAGATGTGCACAAAATAGAGGAGGAGTAAGAATGATATTGTTATCAAAAGTTTAGCAAAAAATAATTATAAATTATGTATTGTATGTTCTGTAACATATGCTCCTCTATTCTGTTTATATATTATGATTTGTTGTTACTTATAATTAATGTATTGGTATGTATAATATATCATATATTTTTAATTTCAGAAGTTGCAGATTTTTTTTTTAAAGGCCAGAAATCTTTCCTTACAGAAATTATTTTGGCCATTATATATTTTTCTTTCCTTTCCTTTCCTTGACATCCTTTGAACATTCTGCTGTCCTTTTCCCAAGTCTTTTCTTTGAGGAGCTGCGTTCATTATTGATGAAAGTGGTAGCTGGGGAAATTGTTTGCTTTTGCTGTTTAGAATATCTCTAAGCTTGATCACTTAGCAGGTGTCTGTGCGGGTCAAGTTGAAAGTCAGAGTAGGCTCTTAACAGCAAAGTAGTAAAGGTAGTGTCAAAACTTGCCTGGGGTGCATCACAAAATGTACTTCCTGTCTGGGTTAATACCGGCTGCGTTACTTCCACAAAGTAGTCCTGACTGTTGAAAGGTTCATCTTATCTGAAGTAAAAGTGTTTTTTTAATAGCTAGGAAATGATAGAAAAATATTTCCTTGGGTCTGTCAGCAGTACTGGAGGAAGAAGAAAGTCTGGCTGCTTTAAAGGCTGCACACTGTGTCATACATAGCCTTGACTGTTAAAAAGCAAACAAATAAAAACATGTCTTAAAAAAGAAAAACAACGTTCTGAATACAGAAGCTGGGTTTTGACGGTTCATGGGCACTTAAATGAGCTTGTGCAATATTAGCAACTATAGAAGAAGCATTTCAGATAAAGCAAATGTTTTGAACTTTAACATCATTGGCTAAGAGGTGCAGCTGTATTTGCAACATCATGCAAATCTTGTGTAGGGGGGAAAAAAAAGCATTCATAATTCAGGTTATTCATGCATGCAGATTTTATGATAGCTTTGCCGCTTCTCTAATCTTTATGTATCCATGACAACACAACTTGTTCACATTTCACAGGCAAAGCAGTTAAAAAGTGAAGGTTTTAATAATGTAAAATTATCAGATCTACAGGTATTTTGTAAGACATTGTACTAAAGCTATGAGCATGAAAATGTACAGATGTAAAGGATTAACAGGGAATGACAACTGCTTCTCATAAAACTACACAAAGAATTAGAAAAATTGTCATGTTGTCAAAGATATCATACCATTTAAAATCCAGGCTGACCTCTTTACCACAGAATAAGCTCTTTTGATTTTAAATGAGATTTTGATTATTTGAACAAATACTTGTGCTACTTCAAGTCTTCATTCTAAATATGCAAAATAAACCAGAAAAAGAGCAAGGAAGTAAATGCTAGTTGCTTGGTTTTTACACTGTGGGAAGCTCTTGAGCAGACTTTTCCTTCTACTGTAGAGGCCTAATGCAATTACATGCTTTTGCAAGCACTTTTTTTATTTCCTTTTTTGTAATGAATTAATTTGTAAAATTTCTGCCCATCATCATCCGTTAAAAGTGCATGTGAAAATACATTATAATACTATACTTAAGCTAAATTGTAAGTTTGGAGCTGAAAGCCAGTTTCAGTGCTGCAAAATTGTGAAGGCAGACCTTTGTGCCCACCTGTAGTTTGCTCCTGAAGAAAAGAAAACTTGCAGCTGTGGAGGGAGAATGAGAAGGCCACTTCCTTATGCTTTTTATTCTCTTGAGTCAGCCAATTGAAATACAAATGAAATAAAGTTTACTGCTCTAAACTCAAAAGTATTGACATTGACGCATACCTCTCAAGACCATGTGTTGTAATACCACACTAGCATGTTGCATGTGAAGCACTGAAACTACTGCAGTATTTCAGAAATTTGTCTGAATGTGAGTTTGTAAGTAAAGGAGAGATATAGCAGAAGACAGTAAGGAAAGTTGCTTTAAAAATTAATAACAACCTACTAGTATCATCAGATCAGTAATAATGCATAAAGAGCTAATATGTCATCGAGCAGGTAACTGATGAAACGAGCATTTTGGAGCTCTAAACTTCAGTACGATCAGAGAATACTGATTGACAGGAAACAAAGTGAAGAATAGGGGGAACTAGGCAAACCTGTTACCTTATGTAAAAAATAGGAGGCGTAGTGTGTGTTTTGAGTTGACGTACATATCTGTATGGAATCCTAAAACGGCATTCGGTAAAACATTTCTTGAATTTTTCAGAAGACCTTACTAAAGAGAGAGAAGTTTGGATAGGTGAATGGTGTACCCTATTAGCTCTGCTGTTCATGGTGAAGTGTTTGCTATTAAGTGCGGAGAAAGTGGGTAGGGGCAATCGAGAAGCAGAGCACAGTCAAGACATTTGTCCTCTCCAGTGTGTAGGGAGCA